TGCACATAACTCCTGCCCAGTTTTCTCCTGTCAGTACTTTCTATAATGGCTGAAGTGACGTAGCGTAACACCACTGGTTTGGCCTTGAACTTGTGAATGGACTCACTCAATAGTCAGGAACACCCATCTTTTGCTGAGGGTGATATTAGAGACACGGTATGCATTCGCAGAATAGCGGAGCTCTGTGGAGATGTCGTTGAAATATTAACGGGTTGAAGTCAGTAGACAAATGTAAGAGTCTGGAGGTATTTTTAAAGAGATATGTACCTGACGTTGTGTTCCTGCAAGTACACAATTACAAATCATTGGGAGAGTAAATGATTGATGGATACGATGTGTAAATGGGTTGCTCTGCACGATTGAAAGGTGGTGTGGCATTGTTAATTAAAGAAGCTATCCCGTTTTCTCTGCAAAGATGTGAGGTAGGGGAGGAGGGGTGGGTGGTTTGGGTGGATGGCACATGGGGTGGGGTTCAAGTGGGTTTCATAGGGGCGTATGGGCCTGCGGAAGGAGACATGGGCGTCAAAAATAGGTTCTTTCGGGAAGTCCTTGTTTACCATTTAAGATCACTGCCAGTCGTAACAATTCTAGGAGGTGATTGGAACTGTATTGTTCGACGTAAGGACGTAGAACCTAGAGGAAGGTTTTTTTTTTTTCGGGGTATTTAGGGGATCTGTTGTGAGGTGTGAATGTAGTGGATGTGGGAGAGGAGGAGGTGGGTGGGGTCATGCATACGTTCATTAGGCGCGATTATGCGGCGAGGCTGGATCGAATCTATGTTTCTCAGGGAGTGAGGGTAAGCAGTGTTTGTGCATTGAAGTGAGCTTCTCTGATCATAGAGGGGTTCTGGTAGACTTGGATTGGGAGGGATTGCCAAAGCGTTTCAGGGGTTATTGGAAGTTGAATGTTGGGTTATTGCGCAAAGGGGGTGGGAGGGAATCTTTTGAGAGTGCTTGGAGGAGATGGTGGGCAGACGGTTGGGTGGGGGTAAACATCCTTGAGTGATGGGACACGGTCGGTAAGGGAAAGGTGAGGGATTTTTATCAGAAGCAGGGAAGGGAAGAGCGGAGATTTCAATATGGTGTTTCACATTACCTTGAAGGTCAACTTCAGGAATGCTATATGGGAGGGGAAGGGGTGAGTATCCAGTGGCTGAGATTGAGAATCGTGAATTTGATGCAGCACGAATCGCGGGAGGAATCGATGAGGTTTTATGGGGCGACTGTCCTTCGGCATATGTCTTGAGAGAGCAGGGAAAATGTTTGCAGGGCGATGGAAATAATGAGCTTAAGTGTCCAGGAGCAATTGGAGGGTATCGTCAGGGGCAGGTGCTCATGTCAACAGAGGGTATGAGTTGCTATGTGGATGCATGGTACGAGATGCATGGCAAAAAAGTGGGGGTTAATAATGAGGTGCTAGGGTAAATGGGTGAACGGGTATGTTGTAATCTCGAGCATAAAGATCGGTTGAATCTGAGTGGACCTATAAGCGAGGAGGAGATTAGATTGGCAGTGGAGAGTATGAGTGTGGGAAAATCGCCGGGGATTGATGGTATTCCTTGTGATATTTATAAGGAAAACTGGGAATCTTTGCGTGAATTTTTAGTGGTTTTATTTAATGCTATGAAAACCAAAGGTAGATTGGGGGAACAGCAATGTACGGGTGTGGTGGTCATGGTCCCGAAAAAGAAGTCTTGTGATTACGTACATGATTATCGACGATATTTTTAAATTGTGGTGATTAAAAGATTTTTGCAAATTTTTGGGGAAAATTAGGATAAAAAAGGGTTCTTGAAAAAAGTTTTAAAATGAGGGTCAATATGGTGTGCCGGGCGATCAATGTTGTGGGACAAGGGATATACGTAGGTTTATAGATGAAAGTGGGGGGGGGGCAAATAAAGGGGGGGTATTAGCTTGGTTTTGGCATGGGCACATGATGTGTGGAGCGTGGGGCCTGGGGAAGTTAATGCAGTGGAGGGTTGGGAGGGAAACGTCAGTTGGGCAAAGTTGTTGAGCGGCTATGGTAGGGGGCAGGAAAATGGTAGTCTGGGAAAAATGTTGGATGGAAAGAGGCTTGAGGCAAGGGTGCCCTGTGTGCGCTTTCTTTGCGTTGATACAGGACCCATTTATAGGGCTGTGCGAGGGAGCATGGGGGGAGGGAGTGAAAAAGGATGAAGTGCGGTGGAACCAGGGATCGTGGGTTTGTGGATGATACCAGGGTTTCTATTTAAAAGGTAAAGGGATTCGAAAGGGGGTAAATTGGGGGGGGCGTTTCGAAGGGAACAAGGGGATGACGGTTAAAGGGAAAGTCTATGTTATGAGGGTGGGGGATGGGTGGGGGGGGTTAGGACAGGAAAAAGGGGCGGGCCCCCTGGTGTGTCAAATTAAGGTGTGTGGGGTCGTTCATATGGGAAACCTTCAGGAGGCGAGGGAGGTGAATTTGAGAGAAGCTGTGGATAGGGTTCTGGGTAGATTGGCAGGATTGCGTACAGGAGGACTGACGTTACATCATCGTGCTATTGTGGTGAATGTGCTTTTGTATGGTAAGCTGTGGCATGTGGTAGGTATATATCCATTGAATCCGTGTGATGAGAAGTGTCTGTTGAAGCGTGTATATCGTTTATTTTTGGGGTTCGGGATGTGACTGGTTATCGAGAGATGTTGTGTGTCTTCCAGCATGCCGGGGAGGGCTGGGGTTAATGGCGTTGCATCAAAGGATGTTGGGCATGTATGCTAAACACAGTTATTTGAGGGAGGGTTTAGGGTTGAAAGGCACAGGTTTGGCATAGGTTCGAAGGGATTTGGAGCGTTGGTGAGGGTGTAGAGATGTCAGTTTGGTGTGGGGGAATGTTGAGGTTATTAATTTATGCACGGGCCCCACGCCGGGTCAAGTTTAGGAGGGAATGGCTCAGGTGGGTGGTAGGGAGGTGGTTGCTAAGGTGGAAGGTATATATCCAATGTATGCGTGGAGTGATATATGGGGTCGTTTAAAAGGGTTACGATTGAAGGCAATGGTAAGGGAGGTAATGTTTAAATTTCTCCACAATACATTTCCATCTGGAGAAGTGTTGGCAAATAGGAGTGTGCAGGAGAGTGGGGAGTGTTGTGTGTGTGGGGACATTGACACTGTCTTTCATGCGGTATTTTTTTGTGCGAGGTAGGAACCAGTGAGGGAGTGGTTTAGTAGGGTTTTAAGTATGGTGACTCACGAAATCGTAATGACACGATTGCAAACAAACCATACCCCGGCCGGGATTGAACCCGCGGTCAGAGAGTCTCAAAACTCCAGCCCGTCCCGTTAGCCACTAGACCAGCTAGCCACAATAAGATTCGTCCAACTAGGTATATTTCTACACCATAGGAAGGTTAGCACAGACACCACTGTGACCACTTGCATTTGTGGTCACAGTGGTGCCTGTGCTAACCTTCCTATGGTGTAGAAATATACCTAGTTGGACGAATCTTATTGTGGCTAGCTGGTCTAGTGGCTAACGCGACGGGCTGGAGCTTTGAGACTCTCTGACCGCGGGTTCAATCCCGGCCGGGGTATGGTTTGTTTACGTATGGTGGGTGGAGGTGGGATTAGCGTTTTAAGGGCGTTAAGTTTAGATGTGGGGGGGGGGGGTTATGTAGCCATGGACTTTGTGTATACGTCATGGGTTTACAGACATGTGTCAGTAAGGGAGAGAATCAGGGCACTGGCAGCGATATTTTATGGGACGCAACGGAAGAATAAGGACATCACTGGGAGCAGGTGGCATTTAACCTTTTCGGAGGGATATCGTAGCTTCCGCGTAAGGGACTTATGGGCGTTGCAATCTTAAGCGGTAAAATGAGGCTGGCTTCTTGAGGTATGCGTGGGCGTGAGTGATGCTTTTGATAAGTAAAGGTGTGGCGTACGGTGTAATAGTTGTTCGGCAACCTTGGTCAGTTTTAGTAGACTGCTTAGTTAAGTTTAATAAGATATAATGCTGTAATGATATAATAATTAGTTATGCATTTGAGAAAGTTCAGAGATAACTTCCAACAAAATTCACTGAAATGTATCAATTTAGCCATGCGTTAGTATGCGTCCAGTTATTTTGCAATAATGAATATTTCAATATGAGTATGTCGTGACTTTTCGCCTTTACTGCATAAAGTTTTTGAGGAGATACATTACAAATTCATTATTTTAAAAATATTTGGATTTCTCCTAATATAAATAGACTTAACCATTCTGTGGAATCTGCTGTGAGTAATTCGTCTGTGATCAAAAGGTTCCAAGATTATATCTATGCTGTATAAATTTTGCAGTTGTTGATTTATATGATCATGTAATTTGTATAATGTTTATTTTTGTTATATTTTTGTATAATGTTTATTTTTTGTTTGTCCTGTTTTAGAATAATTACCAGAGTTTGTTCTTAAGTAAAATCTCATAAACAGTTGCATATCTATATAAAAGTTGCATAAACTAACGTTTGATCACTGCTGTGATCATTAAGTGTGCGAATGATGTGGATGTATTTATAGATGGGTTTTAATGGGGGGGGCCGCCCCCCAACAGTTTTGTGTGTATGTGTCAGATATTTTATCATTTGGTATAATGTGTGTCAGTGAATGGTATGTATGTATTATGCGTGTTTGTTACACATTCCTATTTTGTATTAGGTTTCAAATTTTTCTTCTGCACTTGTGGTATGATTCTTAGTAATCTTGTTCAGATCCTGTATTGTGGTGTTGTTTAATATTTTATACAACCTTGTAATTTATAATGTTTTAAATAATAAAAAAAATAAACATATATATGATTACCGGCTTTATTTCGTTTATAACTTATTTTACTGTTAATAAATAAGTCAGTTAAACGAGTCGAGTGTCATACGAGTCGTCAAGTAACGATTGTTACATTACCAGATAATAATTGTGATTGTACAGAATATTAAGATAAGGTAATCAGACTTTGTTTATATTTTAAGTAATCTGGTATCTCTGATAAAGTTTACTGTGAGACAGATAAGTTGAGAGAAGCTTGAGAAGAGTCTGTGATGTGATGGGATGTTACACACTTCTAACAACTTCTCTAACATTGCAACATTCTACTGCATTTAAACACATCTCAACGTCTTCCTGAATTTGTTAAGAACATCTGTATTTATGTTACATTACTGCAGTAAGTAATTAACTACAGTTTCCCTCTGTACACAGTGGAAAGTGTTGACGCTACTAGCAGCTGCTACTTATACACTGACGCTATTCCAGCTGCTACATATGTACACTACTAGTAGTGTATATATATATATATATATATATATATATAATATATATTATATATATATATATATATATATATATATATATATATATATATATATATATATATATATATATTTATATATTATATATATATATATATATATGTCGTGCCGAATATGTAAAAACTGGTCAATTAGCAAGAACTCATTTAAAATTAAGTTCTTTCTGAAATTTTCTCTTATACGTTTAAAGATATATTTTTTTCATTAATGTTTATGTAAAAAATTTTAATTTTGCACCAAAAGAATCTTAGAAAACTTACCTAACCTTATCATAACAAGCGCAATTTATTTTACCCTAACCCAACTAAATATATTTTAGATTTGTTTACAATAATTTAATACTAAACAAACTCAGTGAAATATATTTTTTCCTTACGTTCAGAATGATTTTGGCGAAATTATTGCATTCACAAATTTTCACTTGTCCTATATTGCAACATGAGCGTTGCTATTTAAGCCAAGATAGCAAGTTCTGCCTATTCAGCACGACATATATATATATATATATATATATATATATATATATATATATATATATATATATATATATATATATATATATACATATATACACTGAAGAAGCTAGCAGCTCTGCCATCACCTTCAGCTTCTCTTCACTCTCAGGTAGAGCATGTTTTATGGTAGTGATCGTAACCTGTACTACTGGTTGTAACTTATGGTAGTGATCGTAACGTGTGCTACTGGTTGTAACTTATGGTAGTGATCGTAACCTGTGCTACTGGTTGTAACTTATGGTAGTGATCGTAACGTGTACTACTGGTTGTAACTTATGGTAGTGATCGTAACCTGTGCTACTGGTTGTAACTATGGTAGTGATCGTAACCTGCGCTACTGGTTGTAACTTATGGTAGCGATCGTAACCTGTGCTACTGGTTGTAACTTATGCTGGTGATCGTAACCTGTGCTACTGGTTGTAACTTATGCTAGTGATCGTAACGTGTGCTACTGGTTGTAACTTATGCTGGTGATCGTAACGTGTGCTACTGGTTGTAACTTATGCTAGTGATCGTAACCTGTGCTACTGGTTGTAACTTATGCTAGTGATCGTAACCTGTGCTACTGGTTGTAACTTATGCTGGTGATCGTAACCTGTGCTACTGGTTGTAACTTATGCTGGTGATCGTAACGTGTGCTACTGGTTGTAACTTATGGTAGTGATCGTAACCTGCGCTACTGGTTGTAACTTATGGTAGTGATCGTAACCTGTGCTACTGGTTGTAACTTATGCTAGTGATCGTAACCTGTGCTACTGGTTGTAACTTATGCTAGTGATCGTAAAGTGTGCTACTGGTCGTAACTTATGCTAGTGATCGTAACGTGTGCTACTGGTTGTAACTTATGCTAGTGATCGTAACGTGTGCTACTGGTTGTAACTTATGGTAGTGATCGTAACCTGCGCTACTGGTTGTAACTTATGGTAGTGATCGTAACCTGCGCTACTGGTTGTAACTTATGCTAGTGATCGTAACCTGTGCTACTGGTTGTAACTTATGCTAGTGATCGTAACCTGTGATACTGGTCGTAACTTATGCTAGTGATCGTCACCTGTGCTACTGGTCGTAACTTATGCTGGTGATCGTTACGTGTGCTACTGGTCGTAACTTATGCTGGTGATCGTAACCTGTGCTACTGGTTTTAACTTATGGTAGTGATCGTAACCTGTGCTACTGGTTGTAACTTATGGTAGTGATCGTAACCTGTGCTACTGGTTGTAACTTATGCTAGTGACCGTAACGTGTACTACTGGTTGTAACTTATGCTAGTGATCGTAACCTGTGCTACTGGTTGTAACTTATGCTGGTGATCGTAACCTGTGCTACTGGTTGTAACTTATGCTAGTGATCGTAACGTGTGCTACTGGTTGCAACTTATGCTAGTGATCGTAACGTGTGCTACTGGTTGTAACTTATGCTAGTGATCGTAACCTGTGCTACTGGTTGTAACTTATGCTAGTGATCGTAACCTGTGATACTGGTTGTAACTTATGCTGGTGATCGTAACCTGTGCTGCTGGTTGTAACTTATGCTAGTGATCGTAACCTGTGCTACTGGTTGTAACTTATACTAGTGATCGTAACGTGTGTTACTGGTTGTAAGTTATGGTAGTGATCGTAACCTGTGCTACTGGTTGTAACTTATGCTAGTGATCGTAACCTGTGCTACTGGTTGTAACTTATGCTAGTGATCGTAACGTGTGCTACTGGTTGTAACTTATGCTAGTGATCGTAACCTGTGATACTTGTTGTAACTTATGCTGGTGATCGTAACCTGTGCTACTGGTTGTAACTTATGGTAGTGATCGTAACCTGTGCTACTGGTTGTAACTTATGCTAGTGATCGTAACGTGTGCTACTGGTTGAAACTTATGCTAGTGATCGTAACGTGTGCTACTGGTTGTAACTTATGCTAGTGATCGTAACCTGTGCTACTGGTTGTAACTTATGCTAGTGATCGTAACCTGTGCTACTGGTTGTAACTTATGCTGGTGATCGTAACCTGTGCTACTGGTTGTAACTTATGCTGGTGATCGTAACGTGTGCTACTGGTTGTAACTTATGGTAGTGATCGTAACCTGCGCTACTGGTTGTAACTTATGGTAGTGATCGTAACCTGTGCTACTGGTTGTAACTTATGCTAGTGATCGTAACCTGTGCTACTGGTTGTAACTTATGCTAGTGATCGTAAAGTGTGCTACTGGTCGTAACTTATGCTAGTGATCGTAACGTGTGCTACTGGTTGTAACTTATGCTAGTGATCGTAACGTGTGCTACTGGTTGTAACTTATGGTAGTGATCGTAACCTGTGCTACTGGTTGTAACTTATGCTAGTGATCGTAACCTGTGCTACTGGTTGTAACTTGTGCTAGTGATCGTAACCTGTGATACTGGTTGTAACTTATGCTGGTGATCGTAACGTGTGTTACTGGTCGTAACTTATGCTAGTGATCGTCACCTGTGCTACTGGTCGTAACTTATGCTGGTGATCGTAACGTGTGCTACTGGTCGTAACTTATGCTGGTGATCGTAACCTGTGCTACTGGTTGTAACTTATGGTAGTGATCGTAACCTGTGCTACTGGTTGTAACTTATGGTAGTGATCGTAACCTGTGCTACTGGTTGTAACTTATGCTAGTGATCGTAACCTGTGCTACTGGTTGTAACTTATGCTAGTGATCGTAAAGTGTGCTACTGGTTGTAACTTATGCTAGTGATCGTAACGTGTGCTACTGGTTGTAACTTATGCTAGTGATCATAACGTGTGCTACTGGTTGTAACTTATGCTAGTGATCGTAACCTGTGCTACTGGTTGTAACTTATGCTAGTGACCGTAACGTGTGCTACTGGTTGTAACTTATGCTAGTGATCGTAACCTGTGCTACTGGTTGTAACTTATGCTGGTGATCGTAACCTGTGCTACTGGTTGTAACTTATGCTAGTGATCGTAACGTGTGCTACTGGTTGCAACTTATGCTAGTGATCGTAACGTGTGCTACTGGTTGTAACTTATGCTAGTGATCGTAACGTGTGCTACTGGTTATAACTTATGCTAGTGATCGTAACCTGTGATACTGGTTGTAACTTATGCTGGTAATCGTAACCTGTGCTGCTTGTTGTAACTTATGCTAGTGATCGTAACCTGTGCTACTGGTTGTAACTTATACTAGTGATCGTAACGTGTGCTACTGGTTGTAACTTATGGTAGTGATCGTAACCTGTGCTACTGGTTGTAACTTATGCTAGTGATCGTAACCTGTGCTACTGGTTGTAACTTATGCTAGTGATCGTAACGTGTGCTACTGGTTGTAACCTATGCTAGTGGTCGTAACCTGTTATACTTGTTGTAACTTATGCTGGTGATCGTAACCTGTGCTACTGGTTGTAACTTATGCTAGTGATCGTAATCTGTGCTACTGGTTGTAACTTATGCTAGTGATCGTAACGTGTGCTACTGGTTGTAACTTATGCTAGTGATCGTAACGTGTGCTACTGGTTGTAACTTATGGTAGTGATCGTAACCTGTGCTACTGGTTGTAACTTATGCTAGTGATCGTAACCTGTGATACTTGTTGTAACTTATGCTGGTGATCGTAACCTGTGCTACTGGTTGTAACTTATGGTAGTGATCGTAACCTGTGCTACTGGTTGTAACTTATGGTAGTGATCGTAACGTGTGCTACTGGTTGTAACTTATGCTAGTGATCGTAACCTGTGCTACTGGTTGTAACTTATGGTAGTGTTCGTAACGTGTGCTATTGGTTGTAACTTATGGTAGTGATCGTAACCTGTGCTACTGGTTGTAACTTATAGTAGTGATCGTAACCTGTGCTACTGGTTGTAAATTATGCTAGTGATCGTAACGTGTGCTACTGGTCGTAACTTATGCTATTGATCGTCACCTGTGCTACTGGTTGTAACTTATGCTAGTGATTGTAACCTCTGCTACTGGTTGTAACTTATGGTAGTGATCGTAACCTGTGCTACTGGTTGTAACTTATGGTAGTGATCGTAACCTGTGCTACTGGTTGTAACTTATGCTAGTGATCGTAACCTGTGCTACTGGTTGTAACTTATGCTGGTGATCGTAACATGTGCTACTGGTTGTAACTTATGCTGGTGATCGTAACGTGTGCTACTGGTTGTAACTTATGCTAGTAATCGAAACGTGTGCTACTGGTTGTAACTTATGCTAGTGATCGTAACGTGTGCTACTGGTTGTAACTTATGGTAGTGATCGTAACCTGTGCTACTGGTTGTAACTTATACTAGTGATCGTAACCTATGCTACTGGTTGTAAATTATGCTAGTGATCGTAGCGTGTGCTACTGGTTGTAACTT